TCTTGTTTATCAGTAAGGAAGGACATTTGCCTTAGGCAGCCATGTGGAAAGAACAGCCACTCATAAGGCAGCTCAGAGGATGGAGCTTAGAGGGGACATGGAAACAAAGTCATGGGAGAATGCACAGGAGCCATCAGCCAGGTGCTGCTATCCTTTTTCTCTACGAAATTCGGCAAAACGGCCCAGCTTGCGGAGGAATGAGCTGCTATAGCAGGCCGAATGCTGCTGTCTTTAGAAGCGCTTGCTTGTAGGACTGGCTTTGGACTGGCTTCTGAGAGCCTGCCTTGTAGAAGGTTCCCCGTGTGGATAAGGCTCTTTTGCCCACCACCTGGGGCACTGACCATACTGTATCAACTCACCTAGACTGTTTGCATAAACAATGAGATTTATGGTGAACATCTTCCCATCTGGAAGCCTGGAAGAATTTTGGTCGTAATGGCTGGGCAACTACGTGACCGATCCCCAATAAAGCCCTGGCTTTGGAGTCTTAGGTGTGCTTCCCTGGGCAGAAAAACTGCACATGTGTTGCTGCTCCTCACCGCTAGAGGAAAAGTGTGTTTTCTGCAGCCTCTCCCCACTTCCCCAAGGCGGAGAACTTTAGAAACCTACACCTGGATACCTCCAGACTCCAGCTGATGTGTCCTTTTCCCTTGGTGATCCTGCTGTATGTCCTTTTGCTCTAATAAACCACAACCATGAGTTCAACCATCCTGAGTCCTGGGAATCTTCCCAGAGAGTCACCGAATGGGTAGGTAACTGAAACACAGCCATTGACTTCTAGAAATTTATTCTACAGAAGTAACCAAGCAGGTGGGCAAGATATCTGTACATGGATGTTACTTCCGTAGTTTTTATAACAGCAAAAATGGCAATGACCAACATGTCCATCCCTAGAAGCCTGGCTGGCTAAATAGAGGATGGCCCATCCACACGATGGAATCCTTTACAGCTGTTAAAATGATGCGGCTGATCGGTATTCCATAAAGGGCGCTCCTCGTAATTGCTCTTCCTTGGGTCCCACAGTCAAATATGTTTGGGGAAACATCTGGGGTGATAAAAAAATCAAAAGTATCTCTTTCCTTCAGGAAAAATCCAGGAACAGAGCAAGGAAAGAAGTAGAATGCGTCCATTCTAGGCTGGTTTGACCAGAGATCCTTTTAGTATTGGGAAATCCCAAGGAGCCACTGTTCCAAGGAACGTTTTGAGAAATACTGATGTAGAGTTGTAGCCATAGAGAATGATGTTAAACAAAAGGCAACGTAAGAAAAGCAAGTTCTGGAACAGTGCATATAACGTGACCTGTTTACATAGATGTGTATATTATAAATATACTTATATAAAAAGCTATGTTTATCTCTATTTACATTCAAAGGTCCGGAAAGCCAGACACCAAAATTTTGATAGTGTATTCTTTGAGTGGAGTATGGGTGATTGATTGAATGATTGATTTCTCAAATTTTATTCTGAAAAATTTCAAACCTACAGAAGGCTACAAAAAGAATTCACTGAACATTCTTTATACTTCATTGAATTCACCCAGTTACTATCAATCTGCCCCATCTGCAATATGTGTGTGTGTGTGTGTGTGTGTGTGTGTGTATACATACACACACATATACAGAGGGTGCCAAAAAAATGTATACACATTTTAAGAAAGGAAAAAAACTGTATTAAAATTGTAATACTCAAAATAATACCGATAACAAAAGATGAATACAAGTCACGTTTGACTTCTTTAATTATAAGAGGTGCTCAAAGTGATTACCATCGGCATAATTTTAATACTGTTTTTTTCTTTTCTTAAAATGTGTATACATTTTTTGGTACCCTCTGTATATTGTGTTTCGCCAAGGCACTTGAGAATTAGTTACAGACATCATAACACTTTGTTCCTCAATACTGTACACAGATGCATCTCCTAAAAACAAGGATATTCTTCTATATAACCACAATTCAATGATCACACTCAAGAACTAAATATTGATATAATACTATTACTTAAAATATTCAAATTCTTCCATAGTCTAATTACCCCAAGTGTCCCAATAATGACTTTTTAAAAAAATTTTTTTAGCTGAGCCATCCTGCCACCTGTTGGCAGCTCAGCGGCAGCTTAGCTCGGGCGGGACTCGAACCGCTATTGCTCAGAGCTCGCACTCTTGAGTGAGCTCTTAACCAACTGAGCCACTCGGCCGGCCCCCAATAATGACTTTTTAATTTTTTCCCAATCCAGGATCCAACCAAGAACTACATGTTGCAGTCAGTTACTTGTCTGTTTACTTCCCAGATTATGAACAATTAAACTTTTTATTTTTACTTTCTTTTGTGTATTCTCTAATGTTTTTCTAATGAACATGGAACATATTTGTTAAGAATAAAACAGAAGTCAAAATATCCGGACGGTAGCTATGAAACTTCAAAGTCATGTTTCAGGTTCCCCTGAAATGGCAGCTTCCCCACCTACAGCAGAGCTGAGCGAGGGGAAGCTAACCATCCTCCTCAGCGTTGGGGAGAGCTGGGGTCAAGCCCCCTTCTTTCTACAAGATTCTGAATCTGCAGGAGTCAACACACAGCCCTGGAATCAAGGCCCTGTGAGAAGCCAGCCCCTCCTTACCTGCACAGGTGGGGGGCCCTGGGGCATGGGTTGGTCCAGGGACGTGAAGGCTGACATGGCTGACATGAGCACATCATCGCTCACCAAGATGTTCCCTTGCACCAAGGTCTGGATCAGGGGGGATGGGGGCACTGTGATGTATGTGGAGACCTGGGCAGAGAGAGAAAGAGAGAGAGAAGAACGGACGTGTGTGAGGCTCTGGAAGGAAGTGGAGAGTATGATGTCAAAGATCTGGGTTCTGGAGTGCCACAGACTTGGATTCCATTTCCACCTCTGCTGTGCCCTGCTGCTGTGTGACCCTGGGCAAGTCACTCCACCTCTCTGAACCTCCATTTCCTCATCTATCAAATGAGAAGAATAAGTTACACATCTTTGTAAGGCACATATCCTATAACCCAGTAATAATATTTCCTGGCATCTATCCTAGAGAAACACTCACAAATGTCCACAGGGAGTCCACAAACAAAAGTATTCTGCA